GTGCAGGAAACAGGCAAAACTACCGCCGAAACCGTCGCTATGACTAAGATGTGCAGCGCGTAACAAAAAAACAGGATACTGCTGTCCAAACAGCGGCCCAGAGCCGCTCATACGAGGGCGGGCTCGTGGTTCCTCTTGACGACCAGATCCTTGCTTCCGGATGCGTCCTCTTCAGTGGTGACGCGGACCTCTTCCCCGTCCCTGATGGAACCCTCTTGAAAAGAAAACGCAGAGATAACTGTCAGACACTTTGATGTAACAAAACAAAACGTGGTGCCGTTGTTTTCGAGGTCTTACCGATGATGCACTTTGCAAGAGGGTTCATGATCCGTTTCTGGATCAGTCTGTTGAGGGGTCTGGCGCCGTATCGTGGATCGTATCCTTCGTCCGCCAGCCAATCCTACCGTCACCATCAGCAAATGAATACGATCACAAGCAAGCGCAGGTTTGACCACGCGCAATTATATCCTGAAAGACTCACCTTTGCACCATGATCCACCTCCAACTTCAGTCCATGAGCTCCCTGGACCCTCTTCTCCAGATCACCGACCCTGACGTCCACGATCTCCCTGACTCTATCCCTTCCCAGTCGCTCGAACACGACCATCTCGTCGACCCTGTTGACGAACTCGGGCGGAAAGTGCTGTCGGACGGCGTCGAGGACGGAAGCCTCGTCGTAGTCGTCGGCGGAACCGAGGTTGGACGTCATGACGATGATGGCGTTTCGAAAGTCGACCCGACGACCCTGCGAGTCGGTCAGGTACCCGTCGTCCAGGACTTGGAGGAGGATCTGGGAAACATCTCGGTGGGATTTCTCGATCTCGTCCAGGAGGATCACGCAGTAAGGCTTTGCGAGGATAAGTGAAAAAAAAGTTAGAACCGGGGAAGGAAGAGTTGACATCCGGGAATCCTCACCTTTCGTCGAACCGCTTCAGTGAGTTCTCCGCCTTCCTCGAAACCGACGTATCCGGGAGGAGCTCCGACGAGTCGCGACACGGCGAATTTCTCCATGTACTCGGACATGTCGAGACGGATGAGGGCGGCTTCAGAGTCGAACAGGAAGGAGGCGAGCGTCTTGCAGAGTTCCGTTTTGCCCACACTGAATAATCAGGATTGCGTCAGGGACGAACGGGAGCAGTGAGAACTCAACGCCAGGAAAATGCAAACAAAACCTACCCTGTGGGACCGAGGAACATGAAGGAAGCGACCGGTCTCGATTCCGACTGCAGACCCGCCCGACTCAACCTTACCGCGTCGGTGACGGCTCTCAGAGCCTCCTCCTGTCCCACCACCCTCTTCCTCAGCGTCTCCTCCATGTGCAGCAGCTTCTCCTTCTCGCCCTGCACGAGCGTCTGGACCGGTATGCCCGTGGCCTTGCCGACGACCTTTGCAACGTCGTCCACCGTGACCCTCTCATGGATCAAGGTCCCAGGGCCCTCCGTCTCGTCCCCATCGACCGGCACCAACTTCTCCAACTCGGGAATCTCCTGATACAAAAGCTCGGAAGCCCTTCTAAGGTCCCCATCCCTCTGGGCCGTCTCGAACGCGTGTCTGGCACCATCCAACCTCTTTTTGGCGTCCTGGATCTCCCCGATCCGCTTCCTCTCGTTCTCCCAGATGACGGTCAGGTCCTTCTGCTGCCTCTTCCTGTCCTCGAGCTCCGTCTGCAGCTTCGTCCTGCGTTCGGCGGACGCGGAATCCCGTTCGGACTTGAGGGACTCGAGCTCGATCTGGAGCGTGAGGATGCCTCGATCGAGACGTTCCAGCGCGTCGGGTTTGGACTCTTGGGCGAGACGAAGGGCCGAGGAGGCTTCGTCTATCAGGTCGATGGCCTTGTCGGGGAGGAACCGATCGGCTATGTAGCGGTTGGCGTACGTGGCGGCCGCCACGAGGGCCGAGTCGGCCACTCGGACGCCGTGATGGAGCTCGTACTTTGATTTGACTACATTAGACAGGTCGATGAGCATCCTCCATTCAGGCAAAGCGTCAAGGAAGACAGGGCTAACGCACGTCCACGCAAGATCGAGATTGTCTCGTCGACGCTCGGTTCAGACACCAGCAAGCTCTGGAATCGTCTGGCGAGCGCCGCGTCCCTTTCGATGTACTTCCTGTACTCTTCGATGGTCGTAGCTCCAGCGCACGTCAGGGTTCCACGAGCGAGGGCTGGTTTGAGCATGTTCGAAGCATCCATGCCGCCTTCTCCCTTTCCGAGCCCAAAGAGGGTATGAAGTTCTGTCAACGACCAAGGCATTGGTTGATGAGTCGATCATTCCACCTGTCCCCTTGCAAACGCTTCGGTGCGCTTACCATCGATGAACAAGATGACTTTCCCATGTTCGTCCTCTACATCCTTGATGACGGCCTTAAGGCGTTCCTCGAACTCGCCTCTGTACTTGCTGCCGGCGACCAGTTGACCCAGATCGAGAGCGACGATGCGTTTCTTTTTCATGCTCTCGGGGCTGTGGTTGAGTTCGCAAGGGTTGTAGAAAGAGAGAGAGAGAGAAAATGAAAGGATGGTGAGGCAAGGGTCGCAACATACCACACCAAGGCATGCAAAACATGGGTCTTTTTACACTTCGCCGTTCACAACGCGTTGCGCGAGTCCTTCGATGACTATGTGAGGAGAGAGTTACGAATGGATCAGTTGCCCTCCTCCCTCGCCCGAGAAAGAAAACCGCGGCGACACTCGCTCCGAAGCCTTACCAGCCGTTTTCCCCACCCCAGCATCCCCGATGAGCACCGGATTGCTCTTTGTCCTTCGACACAGGATCTGGATGGTCCGTCTGATCTCGTCGTCTCTCCCGATGACGGGATCCAACTTTCCCTCCCTTGCCAGTTCCGTTAGATCGATCCCGAACTGCTTCAATGCAGCACCCTTTTCCGGTGGCGCTGCGCTGTTTGGGTTCATCCGGAAGCCGTTGAATCCGGGTCCTTCTTGGAAGTGCATGTCAGTTACATGACACATTTTGAGATTCGGGTTGGGCGACGTGAGTTTCCTCCATCCATACCTCCAGGCGGTGGCCCGCCTGAATGCTGTGCTCTGATGGTGGAATGAACTGGACCGATCCGAGAGCAGGTGGTTGGACATTGCGTGGACCGGGTTGCAGGGTTGAGCAGGCGAGCAGACGGCGGCATCCGTCGTGACGTGCAGACACGGACGGTGCGAAGGGGAGCCGAGGCGCGGCCGAGTCTTGGAAGCATCGCTTGACGGTGCGTTTCTCTTTTTATTGCTAGTGGGTTGATGCGATGTTGGTGTGAACTGAACGTGGCAGACGGGGGGGATGTCAGAATGCCGACGAGCAACTTGGGGATGTCTTCAAGAAGGGTGGTGGTTGCTTCATGACATCCCTTCCCAAGCATTTAAGCTTTTTCTCGTGGAACATTCCGGATTGTTCCACACGCTCCTTCCCGTTTTCTCGCTGTCCACTTTCTCCTCCAGCAAAAAAGGAGCGGCAGAGCAAAAAGAGCACCCGGTTATCTGTACCTTTCAAGACATCACTGCAGCTACGCTTCGCTCATGAGGCCTACGAGAATCGAACTCGTAACCTTTCGCTCTGGAGGCGAACGCGCTGCCAATTGCGCCAAGGCCTCGGACGGTTGCCAGCAATAGTTTTTTGAAAAATAATCGATTGGTTTTTGGGATATACTCGTTCAAATGGCACACTCGTCTGGCCGGTGCCCAACCCCGGTCATGTTTGCCCCCGGTTATACTCTCCCTCGCTCGAGGTCCGTGCGGTTCTCATGATTCTCATCCGGTTGTCCGCCATGCTTTCACCGATCGCTGTCAAGGAAGGGTCGCACATCAGGTACATGTTTAGAGTTCTCTCGGCTGTCAGATCCAGAGTGATCTTCGAGGAAATAGTATTCGCTGAGGGATGTCGGCTTGCGTGGCCCCCCGACGTCGAGGGATCACCGAACCGTGTAAGCGCACGCTTGATTGTATTCATCTAGGGATTGTGGATGGGGAAAAAGAATAAAGGCGCTGCTCAAGGGGTCGACAATGTGAGATGCTCTCCTGACGATTCTAACGAGGAGCAGGGGAGTGGGGGGAGCAAGTCGTCGCCCGACCGGTAGCTGATCGAACTGACGAAACCTTTGACCAGGATGAACTCGATCATGATTCATCGAGAGTGTACGTGTGGTTCCTCCCTCTTCCAGCACTTCTAACATGCTCATGGATCGGCGACCTCGTAGGTCACAACTGTAGGTGCTGTCGACGCCCGACTCCCCCTCTCC